GTGCATACATGCTTTGTTTCAGAGTTACGGTCCCTGATCACTGCATAGAATAAACCTACTAAGTGGCTCAAGATTTCTTTGAGGTTCTTTTTGTCCTTAGTTGAAGTTATGTGGTCAAAGGACTGTATCAAAAGTAACTTGGATTAGTTTTGTTCCCCCTTTTGAAGTTATGTTATTCCTTTGAAATACAGTTAGAATCTTTGTTTCTGTTTGGTCAGTGTTCATTTTCACTCCAAGCCTTTTGTTAGTTTTATTTTTGAATATGTAAAACTAACGAAGTTCTGAAAGTTAAAACTATGATAACTCCCCCAACACATACACAAGTCTTACTCCCTCGTCTCCCTTCTACCCCATTCCTATCCACCCTTGTAGATAACCAGCTTCATTGGTTTCTGGTTATCCTTTTTGCAAAAATAAGCATATTCATCCTGGTGCCTCGGATGGTAAAGAATTTGCCTACAGTGCAGGAGACCCAGGTTGGATCCCTGTGTTGGAAAGATCACCTGGAGAAGGGAATGGCTATCTATCTACTCCAGTATTCTTGCTTGAAGAATCCCATGGACAGGGGAGCCTGGTGGGCTGCCGTCCATGGAGTCACAAAGAGTTGGACATGACTGAGAGGCTAATGCTTTCATACAAATATTTATTACACAAATGGTGATGTAATATGTATGTATTCTTTAGTTTGCTTCTTTCACTTCATACACCCTGGAAATACTCCTTAGCAGCTCATGGAGGCACCTTTTCCTTTTTTTTTCAGCAACATAGTATTCCACCTGTGACTGTACTGTGGTTTATTCAGCCAGTCTCCACCTATGTTTGGACTTTTAAACTTTTCAGTATTTTACAACTAGAAAAATTTGCTCAATGAATAACTGTGCATATGTTCTTTTGTATCATTGGAAGAGTTTTAGAGTAAATTTCTAGAGATAGGATTGCCAGATCAAAGGATACAAATATATGTAATAGTTTTGTTATCTATTGTCCAATTTCCCACCATTGGATTTGCACCATTTTTCATCCCTACCAACAATCTACTAACCTTTTAGCTTTAGTATTTTATGATTGTATGAAAATATTATTCCTGATTTCTAGGAAGCTACATTCTAAGAAGTTAGGCCGGAGATTGGGATGGATTTGGGGGTGGAGTGTTGATAGGATAAAATATTTATAAAAGTGGAGCTGTTGTTAATTGTTAATGTCCTTGGCTTAAAGAAAACATTGTTTGTAGTTAATTGTCTTAAATATGGGTTATTTCTGAGGAATAACCTATAACCTATATTTTTGCTTAGTCTCTTGGTAATTTGAATTATACAGACTGACTCATGTTCAGTTGTACTGAAAATGACTCTTGTTCATTTTCTTTGTGCACTTAGGGCTTCTTGAATTCCTCTGAGCTCTCTGAACTTCCAGCAGGACCCGAGAGCGAGGGTTCTCTCAAGGATCAGCTGGCCTTAGCGATTGGTGAGTATGGATGTAAGGACTGTATGTATGGATTGTAAGGATGTGGAAACTGGAAATTAAGAATTGAATCTCTGGGTATCTTTGATATTCTCCAAATCTAGATCAAAAATTACAAGGTCAAGTTCCTGCAAGGGTCAGATAGTATGAATGCGAGAGGTGGGTTGCGTGTTAGAAATTGGTGAGCAGTGGACACCCTGAAAAGCTCACATTCCACTGAAGGAAACCATTAGCAAGCCACCTGATAACTTTGAGGGAAATAGGATCCCAGTGTCAGAATTTTTTAATTCCTTTAAAAGGATTTAGATTTGTTTAAAAAAAAAATTAGTTTTTAGCTGTTTGCAACTAATTAAAATTAGCAGGCATCACTGCTGACCAAACAAGGCATGTCTTTAGGCAGCGATGGCCTTTTGACCTCCGGTTGACTGCCTCTCTATACACTGTGAAGGAAATAGTCCATCAGAGGGTATTTCACCTTTGTGAAGGGATCCAGGAATATTTCAGGGTGTGGTGTTTAGGAAATTGTCCTCTCTCTCTTTTTTTTTTTTGAAATTGTCCTCTTAAAAAAAAAAAAAATCTGATCCTGAGTTTGTGAAGGTACATGTTTTCAGAACCACTGGCTGCAGGAACCGCATCTGGATCATTGTGGTGGCAGCAGCAGGGGTTCTGCCTTCCTTGTACACGAGCTGATGGAAGGAGGGAAGCAGGGCTGGGGTGGAGCTTGCGGGAATTCACTGCTCATCTGATGTTTCCGTCAAGGCATCAGTTCTGTTTTTATCAGGTCGTCTTGAGGTATGTATGATGTTTCAGTGAGTCATGGCTGAGAAACCAGCCAGCCAACCAGCTGTGTATGCAACTTCTTAAGAAATTCTGGAAGACTTGGGTGTTTCAGCCTTGTCAGTTTCTGGGAATTGACTGTTGGGTAGGTGCTTAGGGCTGTTTTAGGAGCCCTTTTGGTTTATGACTTCTATGACTTTTAGATGTAACAATGGCTACTTCAGGGCTGTTTTCCCAGACCCCGTTATTTTCCTACCCCTTCCTGCCTTTTGACTTATTTGGGCTTCTGATAGGAGGGGATAGCATCCTAAGAGAACAGTGAAGGGGGAAGGGGACTAGAATCTGGTTTTGTTTCTTACAAGTAACTTCAAAGATGTTATCTTTTTATTTTTGATGAAGGGAAGTTGAAACCACCAGATGACTTGGGGTTTTAGATTTCCCGGGGCTTTTAGTTTGGGATTTTCCCCCAAATAATGGATGATCAGGAGTTGTCTGTGTCAGCTATGGTGGTTTGGGGGAGGGGTGGTGATCTGGTGGGAAAAACCCTGAATTGAGTCAGATCTGAGTTTGAATTCCAGCTGTGCCATCCATTAGCTCTGAAGCTTTGGAGAGGTTCCTTTAGCTCTCTAAGCCTAAGTTTAATGTAGTGATGTTAGCCAGATGGGAGTGCTCATATTAGAGGGCTGGATCTGTAATAAGTTCTGTTACACATCTTATTTATTTCTCCCAGTAACCCTGCCTTCAGGTTAAGTGGCATGATCTGCATTTTGCAGATGAGAACACAGAAGACTTGATGAATTAGTAAATGGGGTTATATCATTAAGTTACTTGCCTAAAGTCGTGTGGCCGGTGAGAGGCAGAACCTGTGGCCAGGGTCTGTGTGATACCAGAGTCTGTGTTTCTAAGTACCAGCATGGCACCTCGTTGGCGCTCCATAAAGTACGCTCCGTTTCTCCCACCTTCTCCCCCAAGACCCCTTTTCCTGTTTGTCCTGAAAATGGTATCTTTCCGTCTGAGGGCACGTCCACAGTATAAATGCAGAGGACTCTCTCCCAGGCCTGGCCGCTGCTGTGCGTATTTTGGTACTGCCATGGGCATTGTATTCTGGAAGCGTGTTTTTGTTTGTTTGTTTGTTGTTGCTCTCTCACAGGGAAACTGGGAGAAAACATGATTCTGAAACGGGCCGCGTGGGTGAAGGTGCCAGCTGGGTTCTATGTTGGCTCTTATGTCCACGGGGCCACGCACAGCCCCTCGCTCCGCAACCTGGCGCTGGGGAAGTATGGGGCCCTGGTCGTCTGCGAGACGGCAGAGCTGAAGGCAGACCTCGGAGACCTTGGCCGCCGCCTCGGGCAGCACGTGGTGGGCATGGCTCCCCTCTCTGTCGGCTCCCTGGACGACGAGCCCGGGGGAGAGGCGGAAACGAAGATGCTGTCGCAGCCGTACTTGCTGGACCCTTCCATCACACTGGGGCAGTACGTGCGGCCCCACGGGGTGTCCGTCGTAGACTTCGTGCGGTTTGAGTGTGGAGAAGGCGAAGACGCAGCAGACGCCGAGTAGGTTCCAGAGACTTTGGGCCCAGGAGGACGTGTTTATTCTGAACGCTGGACACTTACAAAAAGAAGTTTACTTCCTAAGCCTCTTCAAACCCAGAATTTGTTTTTCATTTGAGTTTATAATGAAATTATATACTTCGTGGGTAAAGCTATTAAATAAAATTGTTAGGTAATAAAGAAAGTAGAATCTTTTCCTTGTTTGCGTCATGCTGGGCCTAGCTTTTTTGTGCCTGACTTGTGATATGTTTTAGAAAACAACAGGTGGGCCTCATGGAAGTGGCGGACAGTGTCCGGGAGAACTGTGCTGCTTCTCCCTTCCACGCATTTATTACGGCGTCCTGAAGCTGTCTGACTCTTCCCCTCCTGCTCCTGTGACATAGACCTCTCTTGTTCAGTTTTGCTTTGAGATGCTGTGGACTGCGCTTCTATCCTGGAACTTCCCCAGTTACATTACTTCTGCCACATGGAATCTTCTGCAGTTGTTGACTCAAACTTAGAGTTGTCTGGAAAATGTGGTTCATTTGTTGATGTCTGTAGCATGCTTTGAAGGCTCTCTGCGGTGGTATACACACTGGTTCTGGCCTCATTCCTGAAATTAATAACACATGGCCTTGTCTCTCTTCTGGATAGTAGGGTGTAGCTGGGTGGGGCCTGAGGTTTCCTGGACAGCTGTGTGGCAGATTCTGGGATTCTTGTGCCAGAAACAGGGATCCCAGCTCTCCAGAGAGCTCCGTCAGCAGTGCCTCTTTTTTAAAAGGATTTTAATAGTTTTATTTGTTTATGGCTGTGCTGGGTCTCTGTTGCTTTGTGGGCTTTTGCTCCAGCTGCGGTGCCCGGGCTTCTCATTGCAGTGGCTTCGCTTGTTGCGGAGCACGGACTCTGTGGAGTTTGCAGGCTTCAGTAGTCGGGGCTTCTGCGCTCTAGAGCGCAGACTCAGTAGTTGGGGCTCATGGGCTTAATTGCTCCATGGCACGTGGAATCTTCCCAGAGCAGGGATCGAACTCATGTCTCCTGCATCAGCAGGTGGATTCTTTACCACTGAGCCACTGTAGGGAAGCCCAGAAGTGCATCTTGACTTCCCCAGTACTGAGACATTTCTCTCATAGAACACAATAGTTACCATAATGGGCAGACCCAAAAGTCTGAAAAGAACACCCATTTGTTCTTATAGGTATCTTTATTTGAACATTTTAAAAGTTCTGGCACATACAGATTTGAGCATTTTTTATTTTGTATATATGTGAGTAACTTTGATGATTTGTGGGTTAAATAGAAAATACCCACCTTAAAATGTAAAACAAACATGGGCCCTTGCCCCAGAATTAAGCACTTTAAACAATTTTTCTGTTCTCTTACTTTTGACTTCTCCAGATTTTCATGCAGTTTTAGCATTTTCTGCTAAGGCTGCAGCCAGAAGACCATAAACATTTCCAAGTGAGCAGCTACCATTTTAGGTATATGACAACTAGGAGATGCAGGGATGAGAAAAATGGAGTGCATGCTGTGAGTGGCAGGCTCTGCTCTCTCTCCGTTAAGTAGCTGGACATTAGGCAGAAATTAGAGAAATTCTTTGCTGACATTGGCACTGTCTGGTCTCTTCTGGGATCTTGCAATAGGCAGATGCCTTCTTGCCTCAGAAAAGCCCCTTTTCTTTCTTCATCTGGAGCTGTTTCCAGCCAGGCAGAGCAGCAAACTGCCCTCTGGTGATGCCAAACACGGAAACAAAGTCCTGTTCCGAGAGGTAATTCTAAGAGAGAAAACAAAGTTTCTAGTTAGAAGACCTGGCACCTGTCAGTGATAATGGGGTGGGGGCAGAGGGGCCAAGAGATAGTCCCAAGTAGTTTCTCAAAAGGGGAAGTAGAATGAATTTTGCAGAAAGTCTGTGTTTGACTTAAATTATTCACCGGCAAGCTCTCCAGCCTGTGGAGTGCCAGCATGGCCTGTGGGAGCGCTGACTGCGTTCACTGCACTGCAGTCCCACCTGGCACCAGGCTCTTGCCAGAAGAACAAGAAATGGGTTATATGTTATGTATGAGTGCTAAACATTGGGCTTTGGCTGAATGGAGAACTAAATTGAGTGACAGTTTTCCTTGCCTTATGCCCTTATCTGCCATTTTTTATTAATTTTTTTCTTTTTTTATCTGCCATTTTTTATCCAGATGTTTTCCAATGCAGGATCAGGTGGATCTCGTTGAGAGCATAACATTCTACCATTTATTTATTAATGATTAATGAATATTTTTAGTCCAAGTAAAATTACTAAGATATGGTTTCTGTTTTCAAGAAAGTTGTAACCCAGATGCTTAAGAATTGGTTACATAAGACACTGGAAAATTTAGAGACCCTTCAAGTGAAAGTTGCTCCGTTGTATCCAACTTTTTGTGACCTCATGGACTAGACAGTCCATGGAATTCAGGCAGAATACTGGAGTGGGTAGCCTTTCCCTTCTCCAGGGGATCTTCCCAACCCAGGGATTGAACCCAGGTCTCCTGCATTGCAGGTGGATTCTTGACCAGCTGAGCTACCGGGGAAGCCCATGAATATTGGAGTGGGTAGCCTTTCCCTTCTCCAGGGGATCTTCCCTACCCAGAATTGAACCAGGGGCAGGCAGATTCCTTACCAACTGAGCTATCAGGGAAGCCCAGAGACCCTTCAAGGGGAAAATAAGTTCATTAAACATGACTGTTAATTAAATCAGCTGAAACTTAAGTTGTTCCTATGATCTGCCAGGGGCCTTCACTTGTCCCTTGTAGCTCAGTGGGTAAAGAATCTGCCTGCAGTGCAGGAGACCCGGGTTCGGTCCCTGGGTTGGGAAGATCCCCTGGAGGAGGAAATGGCAACCCACTCCAGTATCCTTGCCTGGAAAATCCCATGGACAGAGGAGCCTGGTGGGCTGCAGTCCATGGGGCTGCAAAGAGTCAGGCAGGACTGAGCGACTGACACTTATGATCTGCCAGTCACCATTTAGGTGCTGAAAAGCTGAGAATGTGATGGTGGACAGCACAGACAAGCTCTCTGCTTTTGAAGGTATCAGGGAGTCGGGCAGAGAGACAGTGAGTGGCCAAGTACCAAGGGGCTGCAGGGGTTGAGGGAGGCAGGGTCGGGTGGTCAGGGAAGGCCTTCCTGGGGAGGTGACCCTGCAGCTGTGACCTAAACAATGAGGCGGGCCTGGCTCTCTGATGATCTGGGAGAAAGATGTTTTTTTCAGGCAGGAGCGGTAGCCAGCAGAAAGGCTCATGTTCGAGGAACAGAAAAACAGCAACTGGCTAAAGGGCTGTAAGTGAAGACAGCAGTGGCCCGTAAGAAAGTCAGAGGCGGGCAGGGGCCAGGTGGTATATGGGCCTCGGAGGCCATCGTGAGGACTCGATTCCGGGTGCAGCGGGAAGCCATTCGAGGCGTGTTAAACAGGAGTATCATCTTCTGTAAAAGCCCATTGGTGGTGGCGTGGGGATCAGGTTGTAGGGACAGAGGCGGAAGCTCTCTGGGAGCCTATGACAGTGGTCCACGATGGCTTGACCACACAGGCAGCAGAGAGGTGGAGAGCAGTGGATGGCAGCCAGCCGACGGGCTGATGTGGGAGGTGAGGAGAAAGAAGCTAGGAGCCCTGGGTTTCCGGCTTTAGCTCCTGGGTAGGGCAGCTGTCTGCGGGGTGTTTACAGAGTTGGCCATGCTCCGAGATGGTGCTTACGCAGGGCTCCACCCCTGTCAGTCACTCACCTCCTTTTTGGCAGGGTTCACATCCTCTGGCAACTCCTGACTCTGATTTTTCAACAGAACTTCTAGGGGGTAATATTTTGGCTCAGAATTCAGGGGAAGGGTTGTGTCCCTCATATCCTAAGGAAGATAAGAATGTAGACATGATAAAAGACCACTCAGGTCTGTGCCATTGAAGTTCTGTGTTTATAACAGTTAAATTTTTTTTTTTTTTTTTTTTACCACTTCATGCTTTATAATCATCTTTTAGAACAGTGGTCCCCAACACTGGCTGCATGTCAGAGTCATCTGGAAATCTAAAATATTCCAGTTTGGAGGTTCTTGGGAAGCTGATTCAGTGAGTCTAAGGTAGATCCTGTATAGTCAGTTGGCGTAAATGTTTTGCATAATATCATTTAAATACTGTGATCACATCCCTTCTCTTGCTACTTTTACTTGGGCTCTACATTTCTGGCCTTCAGATGATTTCAAATTGAAGTCATACTTCTCTTAAATACATTTTAAAGATGCTACATTGCGATGAGTTTTGAAATCTTGAGTTCATAGAGCACAAACAACAAAATGCCAGGTGGTTTGGACAGTGGTGCTTGCCTTGTCCTGATGTTAAAGAGCTGCTGGATTCTCGGCCAGGAGCTCCACTTTTGGGGGGCTGTTAAAACAGGGGTAATGGCCTGAGTTTCTGTGGATGCCACTGTCAGAAACTAACAGTGGCACCTGGGTTGGAAGCTTATTATTTCTGAAAAATACTACTAGTAAATTTAATCTCTCCTGAGTGACAGGGTTGAATAATTCGATTTGGTAACAGCAAGCCTGTTCTAAATTCTAGAAGGCAGTAAAATAAGGAACTCAGCTCTGAAGCCTGCTTTTTCTACTGATTAAAACAATCTTCACATCAAATTAGACCACCGGAGTGATACTGAGAAGGACATGATAGGGTTTCAGTCATGCTGTGTCTATAGCATCTGCTGTTTCTCTCTGGCTCTGGTTGCCTGTGAACAGCTTCTCCAAGAAACTCACAGCAATGATTCTTGTGATAGCAGCAGCGTCTCCCAGCTCCTCTTTTAACTGTTCATATGATTTCCCTGCCTGGGAAGAAGACATAGAAAACACAGGATGAGATGCTGCTTATAGTGGAGGGATGTCTCAAGTCTGGTCTGTAACTCTTGAGAGAAGCAAAAAAGCCAGGGAACAGAAGACATTTCAGAGATATGCAGAAAGGGAAACCCCCCCTTCCAGGCCTATGCAGGGTTGGCAGGTACTTAAACATGATCTGCAGCCTTTGCTGGTGGCGCCTCAATGTTCCATACTAAGAGCAGTTGACCAGGGGTCAGAAAACCTGGCTTCTTCCTACTGGTTGTGACTGTAGACAGGTAACTTCTCCTCTGAGCCTCCTCATTTGTAACCCAGGCAACAACGTTCCCCTGGCTATCAGGATGTGACGGGTGTGGACAGACCTCGCAAACGTGACTACTTCTCACGTTGCCTGTTCCTGAGGCGAGCTGTGAGTCTGCTGACTGCACTTACCGCTCTGGAGGGTGCGGAAGAGAAGGAAGGTGAACACGGGAGAGGGGAGGAGGGGGTGGGGAGCACAGTCCCGGGTCGAGTACCCCGCTACCCTTCTGAGCTGTCAGAGCCGAGCACCCTGGCAGTAAGATCGTCTCCCTGGTCCTCTGTTCTTACGCTCCACATGTGAGGGTCCCAGGCCAGGAACCAGCCTGTGAAGATGGGAGGCTCGAACCCCTGCTTAACGATCAGGATCGGTGTGCTGGTGTCGCGGCCGCTGGGGTGAGTGTGCAGGTACTCCTGGGCAGCAGTCAGAGCGCCCTCCTTCTCCGCGGCATTGGCCTCGGCCCCGATCCACAGGAACACCTATTGTCGTAGACACCGTTTGTCACTGCGCTTATGCCAAAGGCTACGTACTAGATCGTACGCGCTGCCCCGTCCTTCCCCGTCAGCAGTTCTCAGCCTCAGCAGAGTAAAGTTTTTGTAGATTTGTTTTGATTTGTGTATTTCCCACATCTACATCTCCAGTCCTGAACTCTCTGAACTTCAGCTTCCTGAATCCAGCTTCTTGCAAAGCATCTCCTGTTGGCTGTCTCCAAGCACCTCAAGTATAACACCCCCCACACGCAGCTCTTTTCTAAACTTGATTCTGTGTCTCCTTTCTTGGGGAATGGTGTCCATTCAGTCACCCAAGGCGGTGGCCTGGGAATCATCCTGAATGCCTTCTGTATCACCAGGACTTAGCTAGTTTACCCCCCACGCTTCTGCCAAATCTGTCTCCATACATCCAGCTCTCCCCCACGGCTTCTGTGCAGGCCAGCAGCAGCTCTTTCTGGACTGGGACCATGGGATGCTGACGGGCCTCCCGACGTAGTTTCCTTTTTTTCTCACACCACCTCCCTGCTCTCCTACACTCACCAGACTGAGCGATCTAAAGCATTCTGACAGCGTCACTCACCTGCTTAAATTTCAGTAGCTTTCCAGGGTCAGTTTCAAACTTCTTGACTTGGTTGGTAAGGTCCACACCCACTTCTCCAGCTTCCCCTCTAGGGCACCCTTTAACTCTGTCCTATGCTCTGATAATACTCTTTGTAGTTCCATATACTAGACTATTTCCTGCCTTTTCCTTTGCCTGGAATGGCCTCTTTACCTGATTAATACCCGTTTCTCCTTGGAGTCTGGGAGCCATCTCCTCCAGAGAGTCTTCTCTGAGCCCCTGAACTGTGTTGAGTACCCCTAATTTGTGCTCCTGTGGCCTCCATCACATAAAACGATGATTCTATGGCCCGTCTCCTCCACCCTCCGCCGGCCTGCAGATCTGAGGGTGGGGTGGGGCCCTTCACCTTGGTGACACTACACCCAGCACAGTGATTAGAAAGGAGAAGGTGTTTGCAGAGCCAGGGGTGGCCTTGAAGATGTTCCCTCTTATCTCTTTATTCCCCCAGACGCCCATATCTCCAGGTGTGGAGCCTACTGCTCTTGGTCCGGAGAGAATGGGGTGTGTGATAGGATGGCATGATTTTCCCAGAGCATGGTGGGAAAATTCCCAGGATGGTGAGTTTTAAACATCAGCCTATTCTCTTCAACCCTGGCAGAAAAGCAGGCTCTCCCTTTGGTCACCACTGACAATTGTTTGATTGACTTGGGGATGGTCCAGGGCTACCCTGGATTAACTGGGGTTTGGGAGAGAGATGCTATAGAAAAAAGTAGCCTAAAGCTTGAGGATGTCTGTCATTCGTTCCAAGCTCTCCGGCTGTGTCTTACCTGGTCCCAGGTATCCAGGAGCATCACGTCACCTGGGTTCAGGTCGTCCTGGGTGAAGTCTGTGATCTCAGTGACCGTGAACCGGCCGGTCTTATTGGAACATTCGAAGAGGCGAGACTGGACATCTAGGATCTCCTGCTGCAGTCTGCAATACAGTGCATGCAGAGGCGCTGAGCTGCTTGGAAATCACCTGCAGTTCACCAGTCTGGGAGGCAGGGGGAGCCAGACAGAGGGGATGCTGTGGTCCCGTACCTCTTGTCACTGGCGTAGGGAGTCTTCCCTCCCAGCAGGTCCCAGAACTCAGCCGGCTCCTGGCCCTCAGCCACTGTATTCTCCGTGCCCTCACAGAGGAGTCCGGCCAGCTCCTTGGCCATGGCCCGCTCATCCCCGCTAGACCCCTGAGAACAGGGTGGGGAGAACACAGATGTTAGTCACACACAGGCGCGTTGATGTGGGAATAAAATGCCTTAGACTAGTAACTCCGCGTAGCCAGGATTAGTTACCACCAGAAGACCTCAGGACAGGGAGCTAGATGGATTTGTTCCGGTGCTGGGAAGGCCGGGGGCGGGGGGTGGGTGGAAAGGAGGAAAACTGTGTGGAAGTAAAGGACAAGACTAGATTCTGAAATGCTCAGTGGGCAGTGAGAGGTCACCTTTGTTTCACCTTCAGCTGGGATTTTAGCACCTAGTTTTGATTTTTTTTTTTAAGAAAAAAGTTAAACTTATTTTTAAAATTATATACAAGAAAATTCACCCTTTCTCCCATAGAGTTCTATGACTCTTGACAAATGCATAGAATCGTGCTACCACCACAAGAACAGAGAAGCTGCCTCACCACTGCGAAAGTGTCCCTCAGACTGCCCACCCCTTTGTAGTCAACCCCCCCTGAATCCTTAGCCTCTGGCAACCACTGATCTGTCCTCCATCATTACAGTTCTGCCTTTTCCAGAACCTGGTCAATGGAACCCTGCACTGTGTGGCCTTTGAGTCTCGCTTCTGTCACTTAGCATAATGCGTCTGAGATGCTTCCTTGCAGTTGTGGGTGTTCTGTAGCTGAGTAGTATTCTGTTCCAGTTGTGTGGAAACACTGCTTGTTTATCCATCCTCCGGTTGATTTGCTTCTAGCTTTTGGCAATTACAAATAACGGTGCTATTAAACATTTGTGTATAGGTCTTTGTGTGAAGGTAGTTTTTTATTTCACATGGGTACATACCCAGGAATGGGGTTGCTGGGTATATATTTTATAAGAAACTGTCAAATTGTTTTCAAAGGCCATATCTGCATTCTCACCTGCAGTGTGAGAATTCCTATAGCTTTTTGTCGTCACCAGCACTAGGTATCATTGGTTTTTTAGTCATTAGTCAGAGGTGTGTAGTGGTATCTCATCGAGGTTTCTATTTGCATTTCCCTAATGGGGAAGGCGATGGCACCCCACTCCAGTGCTCTTGCCTGGAAAATCCCATGGACGGAGGAGCCTGGTAGGCTGTAGTCCATGGGGTCGTGAAGAGTCGGACATGACTAAACAACTTCACTGTCACTTTCAATGACTATTAATATTGAGCATCTTTTCCTATTCAATTCTCTTTTGTAAAACAGCTCTAGTGCTTTTCAATGCAGATGAAATCTGAATTGACAAAAATCATATTCTTAGTGTTCTTTTGTTCAGTGTTAAGGCCTGTCCTATTACAGTCCACCAAACTGGTGTGGAAAGATTGACTTTTCCATCCTGCATCCAGCTGTTTATGGAGGGTCTCCTGGATGTGAGCAGTGCCATTATTGAGTGTGTAAGTGGAGGCCTCATTGTGAGGAACACTGCTGGTCCCTTTGAAGACTCTTTAGGAAAAGGCTCCTCTTTCTGAGGACGGCTCCAGCCCACTCTAAGGTCCTTCGCCCTTGCTGACCGGAGGGCGGGCGCAGGGCTGGGAGCCCGGGGCGGGGTGTGGCCGCTGGGCCGGCCGTCCTACCTTGCCACACCACAGGTAATGCTCTGCCTGGGTCCGCAGCAGAAAGACATCGTTGGAGTTTAGGGAGGAGGTGAAGGCTGGGACCTCCACTGCTTTGGTGTTAGATTTGTCATGTCCTTGAATCTGGAAGAGTCTTACTGGAGGATCCGGCTCAGCACTTCCCTTCCTCGAAGTCCCACCCTAGAGAGAAAGAGAAAAGCAGAGTCCAGGTCTAAGGTATAGTGTGTGCGCCGGGCAGGGGGCCAGCGCTGGGGAGAACAGGGCTGTGTCTGATGCCGCCTTTGCCCTCAAGGAGTGCCTCGGCTCACTGGGAGAGGGCGAGGTGAGCTGGGGTTACGGGACCAGCAGTGTTAGCGTTCAGGGGGCTTCCCTGGGGGTCCAGCGGCTAAGACTGCTCCCAGTACAGGGCCCAGCTCCAACCCCGGGTCAGAGAGCTAGATCCCACGTGCTGTAGCTAGGACCCTCCGCAGCCAAATCAATAAATATTTTTAAGAAATAGTGTTAGCTTTCATGCTGAGACCCGGGTTATATGCCAGGCTCTTTTCTGGTGCCTTAGCTATATCATTTTATTGATCCTCATAATAACTCTGTGAAGTAGGTATTATTATCCCGTAGTGCATGTGGGGAAACTGAAGCTCAGAAAACTGGCTATAATCAATGACAAGACTAGGACTTGACCTCAGACTTGTGTATATCAAGCATGTGACGCAATACAGTCCTGGTGGCGCTTCAGCCAAGGCTTTCTGGAAGACATGGGACTTGAATCTGAAGAGGCACAATGGCTGGGGGAGGCAGACAGGGAATGAGGGAGCACATGTGAGGTCTAAAGAGGAGACCCCCTGACTGGAGTGGAGCGTGGAGGTTAGGGAGCTGGGGGTGATGCACCCGCACGGTCACATGGGTCAGATTGTACAAGACCTTGAACATGAACTAGGCAGGGCTGTGGCCTTGAAGCCCTAGGCAGTTGGGATGCACTTCAGGGTCTTAGAGAGATTCACCCCCTTCTCGTCTGTGTCCACCCCGAGCCCCGCTCTCCACCTCTCCTCTCCTCCACCATAGCTCCCTGCTGACCTGCTGGCTCTGAGCAGTCTGCTTCTGTGTAATCTTACCTAAGGGGTCTCACCTCAAAGATGACCAGCTTTCCTTTGAAGATGGCCATGAAGTGGCGCGGCTCCTTCCCCATGGTGACCCGAACCTGCACGGGGGCCCCTTCAAACTGCCGGTCCACCTCTACCGCCTGATATGCCGAGGCTGCCAGCTCATCCTGTGAGGCGTGGCGGCCCTGCAGGGGTGAGACGGGCACAATGGGTCCCTGCCACCCCCGGCCCCAGCTCCGTGGCCAGAGGAAGCACCAGGATCCAAAGCTAAGAGCCTGCTCCAGGCCTACCTGCCAGATATACAGGATGTAATGAGGCTTCCCATGCATCTCGTATGTGTAGAGAACCAGATAGCAGTCTCCCCCGTAAAAGAAGCCATACCACTGGTGCTCCACGGGGACCAGCTCCAGGTTTTCTATCCTCCAGACCTGGGCATGGAAGGAGACACAGTTCCCCAGAGGTGGGGGGAGTCCTCTTTGAACAAACAGCCACCTGGAGGGAACTGGGCCGTGCTGAGCAGAGAATCCAGGGGGATGGGGCACAAAGGTCCATTCACAGTACCCCTCATCCTCCGGTGCTTCTTCCCAGTGCTGAGGGCTTATCCCATTTGCATGATTTGAATCCGGAGAACTAGGTCATCCCTGGTCAGACGCACCCCCATCACAGCTCAGAGGTGATTTGAATGTGTCTGCCAGGTGAGCTGTTGACAGCACACTGGGGTGTCTACTTTTCCCTTCCCTGAAGAATTGTGGGATGGGGAACACATGTAAATCCATGGCTGATTCATATCAATGTACGGCAAAAACCACTGCAATATTGTAAAGTAATTAGCCTCTAACTAATATTAAAAAAAAAAAGAATTGTGGGAGACTGCTGCAGACGCAGATGCCTCTTAGGGAAGAGCCCCGGGGCCCCGGAGGTGACGGGGGAAGCAGAGGAGACGCAGGATCCCGTGCGCTCCTGGCAGGAAAGCAGCCAGGAGAGCCGGGGCCCCGCCTGCCCTGGCTCACGGGTCGCTGGGCTCGTTACCTCGACTTTGCCACTGCCGTCGTCCACCATTCTTTCCCGGGCTGCCACCTCTGGTTTGGTGTGCAGCACAGTTACATCAAACTTATCCTGGAAAACCTTCGCTGCAGAGAGGGGTTTGGGAGAAGCCAGGTGAGTGAAAAGCATCCGTGCCCGTCTTTCTAGAGACCCCCCACAACGAGAACACCATCTGGGGGCAGTCTTACCGACTTTACCCACACTGAACGTCTTCCCCAGACCCACGGTCTGCTCCTTCACTGTCCACTTCTGGAACAGCTGCTTGAACATGGCCGACTCGGCACCGTCGTTGACGGTCTCCACGTTGGTGCTGCTGGGGTAGCCCTTCATCCTGATGAAGTTCTGTGGGTACCCCCCACCCCCAAAGGCACGTCAGTCAGGGAATGCACTGGGTTCTTGGCTTGACTGGTGATTCACCCCTTTGAAGCCAGTGGGTAGGATTGTTCCCTTCTGGGAGTCAGAGTCAAATTCTAACTCATTTCTGTCTAGGGGCCGAGCTAGCTGCCTCAAGGAAAGGACTGAACGGAACATTTTGGCATTCCTTCATTGGTCATGATTATTGCTGATTTTTTTTAAAATCCTCTATAGTATATTCCTTCAGCACCTCTGTACTCTGCTGACTGCATCACCTTCATTTGCTTTTTCTTTTTGCTTGGTAGATGCATCCTGCTTGGTGCAGCTGCAGGAGGCTACACGGTAACGTCACACGTTCCTTGAGGACAGGGCTGTTGATATGTGATATCGCCTTCAATAGTAACAGCCGCCCTTTACTGGGGAGGTGTGTATGCCCGTGTGTTTGAGTGCTTTACAAATGTTATTTAACCAGCACAACAAGCCCAGGAGGTAGCACTAGACCCGGATTGGAACCCGTTTGCCTGCGTGACTTTGAAGTCACGGCTCTAACTGCGACGTTCTGCGCACCAGTGCCTAACACGCTCTCCGAGCACCTCTGGCGTGTCGTGGACGGGCTTGTTGGGTAATGCTGCCCGCGCACAGCTCCTACCAGGGCTTTAGACATGGCCATCTGTTTCTCAGCCTTTGTAGCTCCCCTTCCTTTCCACACGTAGATCTTGGTTCCGCTTTGGTCCAGGATGTAGCAGTCCTGAAGCAGACGGCCAGGGACAAAGTTGGTTACTGCTGCCCGAGACCACAAGGAAGGCCTCTCTGTGGGGCCTGCCTCTGAAGCCAGGTCCGGCTGCCCCAAGCCAAGCGCACCCAAGTGTACTCACATCAGGGTTCAGTAAGTCCTGGACCAGAGGCCTCGTCGCTACCTCCGTGACCGCCAGCTGCCCAGACGAGTCTGAGACACTGGAGAAGGGGAGAGGTTAGCCTGTAGTGTCCCTTCTACAAAGCATCATGTGGTCAGTCTGCTATTTCCTGACTTGGTCTTAGGATGGAGTTTCTGGCTAGAGTTTGACTTCTTGCGACGGGCATGGCTTGAGCGCGGACTGGAATGTGATGCATGCTGTAGTCTGGGAGAGACTTCTGTGCATCTCTTCCCTGAATATTATCTCTACCCTGCCCCTGACATTATCCCGTCCACACCCCTGGGATGCATAGACCTGAGTCAAGGAACATTCTCCCCCAGAGACCAGGAAACATCGCTAACAAGAGTAGACGGTAGCTGCTCGGGGAACAATGAGCTCCTCGTAGAAGCTGCATTTGAAGAAAGACTGAAAGAAACCCAGGTGCCTGCACCCCAGATGGAGCCGAGCAGGAGTGCTTGTTTCTCTGGGGGCCACCTTCCCCTGACCCCAGCTTCCAACCAGCAGCCAGCCTTAGCTACTCACTGATAAAGCGTGATGTTTGATTTCTGCTGCTGATCTATGACCTCGTCTGGGACTGCCGGTTGGATAATGGAGCGCCGGCCGAGGGTGTCCTGAAGAACCTTCATCAGCTCCGGGCTGGCTGCCTCCTTGTCTCCCTCGATCACTCCTATCTCAGCACGACCCCCTCGCTCCCTGTCCCGAATATCCTTTGCCAGAAGCATCGCCTGTAAAGAAGGCCGGGGATGCCCTTAGCTCCAAGAGAAGCAGCCTGGATCCCACACACAGGGGTTACCCTGAGGCTGAGAAAGGCCAGGCTGAGTCGCAGCCTCAGTCATGTGGCCTGTCTCTGAAACAGATGCTGCTCAAAGGCAGGCGTCTGGCTGGAAGGGCAGTAAAGAGCCAGCCAGGAAAGAAGAAGGAGAGAGTAGCTGGGGGAACGGAGGGGCTGAGCGCAGGGGCCACACCTTCAGGCGCTCCCCGCTGCTGCTCTCCGGGCCGTTCCACTGGACGATGACCTTCCCGAGATCCAGCAGGAAGACGTCTCCTCGGTTAAAACTGTCCCAGCTCATTTCCACCTGCGGGGAAGAGGTAGACATCAGGCAGGAGGAATTCCTGGGTGCCAGGCGGAGGGGCCTCAGGCCCGGGACAGATAGGGGGCAGGACCGACCTCGCTGGCCCGGATGTTTCTCTTCCCCTTCACATGCAGCAGCCGCTTCACGTTGTAGGTGTTGGTCTCCACGTGCCTCATCCCAGAGGCCACACCACCCTTCTTGTAGCTGAGGGAACAGCCGGGGAGTTATTTACCGAGAAGTTGCTGGGTGCCAGGCATTGGGGAGAGAGTGGGGGGTCACACAGAGGCAGCCTCTGCCCACGTGGGTGATGACGGTACACGAGCAAGGCACACACTGATGCCACAGAGGTGCCCTCGTGGGGGGCAGCACATCGGGGGCTGCCTTCTCTGGAGGACTGACGTTTGAGTGGAGATATTAAGAGTAGGAGCCAACCACCAGAGGACTAGGTCTCCAGGCAGAGGAGTGGAAAGAGTCCCCACGGCGTGAAGAGCTCGTTTCGTTTTGTTCTAGAAGCTGAACATCATGTGTGTTGGGGGAGGGGCACAAGTCATCTCCCCGTGGCCTGAAGACCAACTCACTCCGGGAAACCACTCTCCTGCCTCTGGTTCTCACCCCAACCCAGCCTCCTCCAGGCATCCCATGGGTGAAGGGCACCCAGAAAGCCCCCAGGAGCAGAGGGCCTCTGTTGCTGGGTTCCCTGCTGACGCAGCAGGCTGCTCTGTGCCCAGTGGGTCCTCAGTGAGGGCTGCTCACCTGCAAGAAGCTGGCCTTGGACCAGCCTCAGAGCTCTCGAGCTCCTTGGAATTCTTTTATTTTCAATCTCAAGTGCAAAGTTTGGAGGTGACCCAACTCCTCAGTTCATGGGAGGCTGTCATCACTGGCCTCTGCGAGATCCTCCTCTTGCAGTGTCTCTGTGCTCCCTTTTATCTGCATCCCTCCCCTCCCTGCCTTTTCCTGCCCACCATAGGCATCCGTTCCAGCAGTGGAACATCTATCTTTCTATCTTCATTCTGGTAAAACGTGGCCTGCTGTTTTGCACTTATGTCATTTTTGACAGACAGGAATGGGCATTCTGTTCTACATTGCAAGCCTGTTTCTTCCTGTGTTCCTCAAGCCCAGTGCTCTTAAGGTGTGTCCACAGGCCAGATGAGCCTCTGATGTGATGGCAGGGTGCTCCGTGGGGTCCCGGAGTGTCTCCTCCCGTTCAGTCTCCCTGGGGGAGGCATGCCCCACTGCCTGCAGCTTCTCACCACCACTGATACCACTATGGACATTCTGGCTCCCGTGCCCCTGGGGACCTGGGAACGTGAGAATTCCTTTGGGTCACCCCCCAGGAGCAGACTGCCCTCCGGAAGGCTGGGCCAGTCCCCGCTCCCACCAGCAGGGGGCGCCAGGGCGCCCATCTCCCCGCAGCCGTGCCCGCACTCAGCACCGCCCAGCTCTCTAACTGACGCTGCTGCGACAGGTGCGAAGGACAGCGTTGTTTCGATTCGCATTTCCTTGATTCCTTTCTTCGCATACTTTCCAGCCTTTGGGTCTCCTCTTTGGTGGACCACGTCTACGCCCTTGTGGGTGCCCCGCTACTCACATGATGCCCTGCTTGAAGTAGCCGCGGAAGGTGTCGGACTCGTGGTACTGGACCTCCCGGTGTTGAACGGGGCCGCCCCCCAGGTAGTCGTCCAGCTGCGTGGTGTAGATGGCCGCACAGCTCTGCTCGTCCTGGGAGGAGTCCTTCCCGATCCAGAAGTGGATGTCCTGGGACAGGAGGCTGCCCACTCTCCGCGTCTGGGGTGGAGTCAAAGAGACTGGCTCAGGGGCCGGCTTGCCCCTCTGGTCTGGGAAGGTAGCTGCCTAGGGTGACTCGGGTCCCATTCTTGGCAGGCTCGGGCCTCTGTCCTGCTCTGCGGTTTTCTCCCCCCTGCAGTGGCCCCTGGGCAGACCTGTTCCGTGGCTCAAGCCCTAGCAGCCCGAGTCCCTCCCTACGTATGGGGACTGCTGACAGCGTATTGTCCTCCACATAAGCAGCGGTCTGGGGGATCTTGCCGGCTGGACTGCAGGCAAGAGCTCTCTGGTTGCTCGCGTGCACCCGGGGACTCTCTCAGCCGTACAGAGCTGCTGTCTGCCGGCGTGGCTCCATCAGCACCGTCCGCGTGGGAGACTGTTCTCTCAGCTAGGTGAGCACTTTGAGGCCAGAGACGGCCCTGTGTCCACCTGGCCTTCCTCCAGAGCACTGTAATCTCGGGGGCTGGGCCCAGGAGGCCGAAGCCTGGCTATGGGCCACGTGCTGAGGTTCAGACTGAGGGCCACACCCCCACCCTCTGATGCAAAATTTAAAACCCTGGCCTAAGCACAGCCTTTGATAGTCAAACTGGAAGCCTGTTCCATGCAACAGCTAGGAAGAATCAAGATGGATACCAGAGGCCCGATTAACCCCGTGGGCAGGTCTCCCAGGGGAGCCCCAGAGCTGGCTCTCTGGGGAGGAGCTTGTGAGAATCAGGGAACAGGGCGGGATGGTGCTCACCGAGAGGATGACGTAGCAGTCTCCCTCATAGAAGTTGCCGTGGGCACGCAAGGGCACCAGTGCCAGCTCCATTTTCTGGAAGGACAAGGGGTATGGATGGGCTACATTCCTTCCCCCTCGCCCCCCAAGCCTCCTCCCTCCATGCTAATATTTGGCACAGGTCACAAGGCTGGGGAGCGGGTGGAAAGGTAGGGAGACAGCCCCACGGGGCATGGCGGCCAGGTCCGGGACGAGCGCACACCCCTCCGGCTCCTGCTGAGCTCCGCCTGCACGGCCCTGGGTCTGTCTGTCCTCCGCCCACCGCCTGCCGGTCCCATCTTGCTGCTGGGGAGCCTGGGAGCCCCTTCAGTCCTCAGCTGGGCGTAAGCCCTCAAGGAAGAGCCTCAAGTCTCTTGAGCCGAAGCACAGGGGTCTCCGGCACCGACTCCGTCCACCCAGCGCGGGCCCAGGTCTGAGAACGGGGTGGAGGGCCTGGATTCTGTGAGGCTCTGGGGGCCGAGGGCTGGCTGTGTGCAGGTTCCGTGCTGAGGGCTCCTTTCTGGAGTCTGGATTGGAACTCGGATGCATCTGTCATAGCATGTCTGACTCGTCCCAGGAGAGCCATTCATGTGACCTCAGATGGAGACTTTCATCACTGTCTCCAAGGAGGTAAACCTGCGGTCCTGTGTGAGTGTATTCTATGTAAAATATGAGTGTCAAATGTGAAAATGTCAAATATCCCACAGTTTGTGTGGCTTTTTGTTCCTATTAGTTGTTAAATGCACGGGGAGCCTTAAAACAGTGGGAGTGACCTGGCTCTGAGCAGCTTGCTCAGCAGCTGTGACCCCTCCTGTGGGCGGTCGTGAGGTGGGCATCTCCTCTGGGTTTGACGCAGCAGTCCCTCACTGGGCTCAGAGCACAGAGGAGGAGGTGAGGCTTTCTGGGCCAGGGCGGTTCCCAGCTACAGACCAGTGGCGCTCCAGGTCAGCCAGAGGGGCTCAAGCCGGGGTAGGAGAAGGGATGAGCGGGCCCCGATCTATGCTGTCCCCACACCTCCTCCTACTTTGCAGGAGCCAGAGTGCCCCGTGGAAGACAGGTCCCATTGTCCTGACTAGGGCAGCCAGTAGTCTTGGGGCTCTCTGGGTGGCCCGGGCCCCACCCGTCTCTCCAGGGCATTTACTGGAAGCGCAGATGGCTGGATAAAGGGCCAGCTTGTTTTTGCTTGGAGCCCTGCTCCCCAAAGTGAAGAGCATTTCTTCCACCTCACCCGCCGGCTCTGTGCCCCGGGGCCCTCCCCGGTCAAGGACAGTGTTGCCTCTCACTGCTGCGGAACCAGCAGCAGGAGACTGAGTGTGGGGGGCCTGCAGCCGCCCAGGAGGCGCCCCGTCTGGCCCAGCTCACCTCTATTCTCCAGGTGATGATCCCAGGGTCGTTGCCCACAGCCCGGAAGGCGCTGCTCAGAGACATGGCGCGTGGCTTCCCGGGACTGAAACATCACAGAGCGAGCAGGGAGATGACGCCTCTCAGAGCAGGCACCCTGCCCGCTCTCCTCCTAAGTCACTTCCCGATCTCTCGTCAGCCACCCGGCCACATCCTCACGGCGCATCCCTGCACCGTCGTCTCAGTGACTTGCGAAATGACTTGTCCAAGTTCAGGTCGTAAGCCTGCCGACCCAGCGGGGAGGTCGGGGGGCGCCTACCGGAAGTTCTGCATCCCCCTCGCCACTTCCCTTGTTAAGAGCTCTGGTAACAGGCATGATTATTTACCCAAGGGGTGACAAATGTGTTAAAGCCTTCTGTTGACTGACTTTATTTCTCTCATTTAACTCTCATAAGTTGAATATATTTCCTTCGTCTGACATTGTGGGAAAATTGAGGTTCAGAGAGGTTAAATGATTTGCTTAGTATCACTAAAAAGAAATCCGTACCTGGTCTTAAAATCTCTAATTACTCTGAGGTACTGCAACCCTTCCTAACTCACCTAAATCCAGTGGCACATGGGTCTGAAAAGCTTACATCAGAGTATTTCCAAACTGAGTTTCCTTCTCTCGTTTTTATCCCAGTTCTCCCAGACTCTCTGCTTGGCAGGTCCTCATCACAGTCCACTCTTTTGGCCTTCACTTACCAGACTTTTTAAAGTAAACCATCCTTAAACTATCCCATCCTGTTTTGTCATATGACTAATATATTCCCTGTGCCTCACAGAAGAAAAGGGAAAGTAAATGGCAGAGCTGGGACATAGAATTCAGGGTGTGGACTTCCTTGGCAGTCCACCACTTGACTCCAGGATTTCCAGTGCAGGGGGTGGTGGGTTAGATCTCTGGCTGGAGTGCTGCGAGTTCAGGGAGCCAGCAGGGGCAGGTGGGCATGGCCTGTGGACCGGTCCTCCCCCGTCGCCACAGACCCGGCCAGTGGGGCAGCGGCCTCCCAGAGGCAGGGTGGGGAGAAGGAGAGGTAAAGACAAGCGTGCATCGTGTACCGTATCTATTCGAGGCCTGTCTAGGGTTATCAAGCGCCTACACACGTCCGTGGCCACACAGCCTTTACATAATGAAAAGTCCTGTCTGGTTCTTGCTCTCAAGGGGGTTGCAATCTGGTGAAACACATAACTGATGAAGCTCTCACAAGGCAAAGGTCAAGGATGGGCTTGACTGATTTATTAATGCATAGGAAAGAGAAAAATCAAAACCCAGACACCCTGAAAGGCTCTATCTGGGATCTTGCTGTGGAAGTGTTGGTCACTCAGTCGTGTCCGACTCTTTGTGACCCCACGGACTGTAGCCCGCCAGGCTCCTCATCCATGAATCCTCCAGGCAAGGGTACTGGAGTGGGTAGCTATTCCCATCTCCAGGGCATCTCTCCGACCCAGGATTGATCCCAGGTCTTCTGCATTGCAGGCAGTTTACCATCTGAGCCACCAGGAAAGCCTGGGGTTTGGCTATTTGGAAGCACATTGTGCTTGTTAGGAGGGGCATGTCTGGCCATTCTCTTCTTGAGCCTTGGTAGATGAACCTAGGTTTGGGTATGTGCCATTATCTGGTGTGGACATTGGCAAAACAAAAAAAGACAAACAAAAACCTCCCTTTGTCTACTGCTGTAGCAGGCCTAAAGCAGAGCAGTGATGCGGAGCAGTCAACGTTTGAGGATTTAATTTGATAACTGGCACCGCCCCACCCTGTGCTGCTCAGAACTGCCGGGGAATATTTGTTCAGGTTTTCTGCAGATCCTAGATTTCAGAAACTAAAGGCAAATGCAATGACCCAACTAGGGGAAGGGGATAAAAACCAATTCGTTCCTGGGAGAGAGCTAAGTGTAAACCTGCTCAAAGTCAAACCAGCTGCCACTAGTTAGGACTGTGAGTCCAGAGGCCAAAAGCAGTCCCAATTCCCAGCAGGGACTTAGCAATCAAGACACTCACTGGGCCAGGAGCCCTGAAATGCAGGACAGGACATGCTCACAGAAGGAACTTTGCCGTATTGGAACACCCAGAAAGTGTGATTCCGTCTGTGACACCGAAGTCTCCCAAAGCGTCTCTCCGTCCCTCCTGGAACCCTAATTTATTAACTTAGTACCCTTTGACACTTCTACTGGGCGGGGTGCAGTTTTGAAATCTCAGGCCCTTAATTCCCATCAACACTCCTATGAATGGACCCCAAGTACAGGAAGCTGGTTTCATTTATGCCTTGCTCTACACCATCTGTTTGAGCTGGAGCACTCTCCCTGTTTCCCAGCCTTTGAAAATGTGTCTTAACGTTTAGGGATCTCTTAAAAAATTACCTCAACTTCTCAGCAGGAGGTTTGCAGAAACTGTTAAGCTCCTGGTTCAGTCCTCTAAAAGCCTCGTCCAGGAAGGCACGGCCAAGGACAGCTCCAATCTCTTCTCCTCTGTTTCTTCCCAGTCCAGGGAAACTGCTCTACCGACACGCACCCACAAACCAAAGAGAACTTACCTTGCCTTCTCTCACCAGTCTTCCCAGTTTTCTGGCAGTGGGTACGCAGTGTTGAGGAACCATCCAGTGTGGGAGGCTCCAGGCCCTGCTGCCTTCCCTTAATAATGGCTGTGCAGACACTGGGTTATATTTGCTTGGGTTTGCATCTTAACCGCATTTTCCTAGTCCTAGCCAATCACAGCCAACCTAGCCCTGGGCTTGACTTATTCAAACCAGAGGGAAAGCTTTATCTGTTCCTATTCAAAACAGCAAAAACAGGAGCAGACTTTTAAAGGCTTCTTTTTTAAAGGCTTCTTTTTAACTCCAGTTCCACGCCCTGATCTAATTGATTTTTTTAAGAGTGCAGTCCATCAATAATGCAGGAAAGACAGTGGGAGGATATGATGCTTGCCATCCTGTAGATATGAATGCATTACACTGATGGTAGGAGGCAGGGCTGGGCTTCCCACCGAGCCCCCGGGATGTCCAGGCAGGCAAGCGCCTCCCCCAGAAGCTTCTGGGCATTTCTCGGAGGTGCAGTCTGGGTGAAGGGCCTATGGTGTGTTATCAGGTCATCCTGTTTTGTCCCTTGGGGGGTCACATGGCAGTCCAATCAAAACCGGAGTGCCTACTATGTGCCAGGAAGCACCGTTCACTTTCAGGGCTCCTATTCTGGGAAAACCAGTCCGGGGCGCAGAAGGAAGACGCTAAGTCCCCGATTCCCCCTGGGGCTTCTGGTTCCTCCCAGACGTCAACAGGCCACCAAGCATATGCTTGTTAAGCACCCGGAGGGAATGGGGTTGGCTCCACCCAGGGGCCAGGGAAGAGCTGATGGAGCCCGACTTCTGCGACCTTGGGCAGAATCCGTGTGCTGAGTCCACAGCTGGCCTCCCAGCCTGGGCACTCCAGCCTCATCATGACAGAGGCGTTTTGAGGGAAGAAGGGGGTGGGGGGTAAGTTCCGAATGAACAACAGCAGGGGCAGGAGACAGTTCCCATTCATGGATGGGTTTTTTAAACCCACTTTTATTCATTAATTGTAAGTAATACAAATATTTCAAAAATATAAACAGACACTTAATGGCATCCTACATTTCAAGTTTTTGAATACAACAAATTTATCAAATTACGGACTTGTAAGCAAGGTGGTCAGAACCCCAGAGCCCAGTCACAGTGGGGGGCAGACCTCCCTGACCCTCCAGATGGCGTCTTGAAGGGGACTGAGCGGCACAGGTCAGATCCGAGACAACTAGGAGCAAAGAAGCTCAGGGACCCAAAGATGAGAGTCCGCTCCAGGGGCAAGCCCCACTGAGAGAACGTGGCAGGGGGCCAGACCTCTGCCTCCCCGGCTTGAATGCAAGTATTTACCGGTGTTTTTTTTAAAGACAAAACTAAAACCTCATTTTACAAAAGAGGCAACTGAGGGACAACGTAACAAATAACTAAATGAAGACCTAAAGGGGAAAAGAAAACAGGTTTACCTTCTGCAGACACTTGGCCTGGCTGGGACATGGGGCGCACGACAGTCTTGGAGGGGGATCGGGAGCTGCCTCACGGAATGAGGCCCCCTCAGAAACAGGCTAGGGCTGCAAACAAAACAGAACGGGACCCACTTCCCAGGGAATGACCGCCTCTAGGCTTCCTATGCTGTTAGCACAGACAAGCTTCGGGGCCACTGTGAACAGAGGTGAGTTCATACACTTATAAAATGGTCCAAATCTTTGGGAGGCAGGAGGGAATTAAACAGAAGGTCCCAGGTTAACTGAAGGCAAATCACCTCCACCTCTCTAGTGAGGGACCACGGGCCCGCAAAGGGTCCCCTCTACAATGTGCAGAGTGGAGACTCTCACCTGACCCTTTCCAAACTGGTCCTGTGTCCAAAGCTCCCCCTATGAGAGGGACAGAACATCAGGCTTTTGATTTAGAAGCCCAATCAGAGAGACACGCCGTGTCCCTGAAGAGGCACCTTAAAAAACTGAACTTGGCAGGTGGGCAGATTCCTGGCATGGCTTGAACTGGGGTTGGCCAGGCCTGGAGGCCTATTGCTTCCCAAAGGCCAGCCTCAAACAGGAAGTGCTGGTAGGGAACCCTGAAACAGATCCTGGGGTGAACTGGCTCCTCCTTGCAATCTTGCCCTCCTCCCAAGTTGAGTCTGGCCTGATTCCTCTAAAGAGCAAGTTTTGCAATCCTCTCTTGCCCCTAACACACTGAAACTGGAGGCCAGGAAGCACGTAACGACTTCAGGCTGGCCCTGGTCCACACGGATGGACCCCGTTTAGACTTATATTTGGCTGAGCTACCTCTCCAGGGAAGGGAGGAGGGGGCGGAGGGGTGCAGCATTTCTGGTAAGGAACCGCAGGGGCGGGGCAGGGGTCTGGTGAGACAGGCCTGCGGAGCTGGGCTTCATGCAGAAGTAGCGGGCACTCCCAGGTCATCCTGGGCCCTGGTCATGACCCCTCGGAGCACTCAGACAAGCCTGACAGGAAAGTGGGTGGCACTGGCTCTTCCTAGAGAACAGGTGACCCAAAGGAGGGCAGAAAGGGTCCTTGGAACTCGGTCAGCCTAGAGACTCTTATTGCTTGTTTAGTCAAAAAAGCTTGGCTGGACGCCATGGCAGATTTGGCCCGAGGGCAAACCCTTTGAGTGGGGCTTAGGAGAGAGGCCCCCCTGTGATACCAGAAGAGAGGCTTAGGCCAGGGGCTTGGAATCAGAAGCTCCTACTCCCTCAGGAGATGTCCTTCCTGGCCAGCCCTGGAGCCCTCTTTCCCCACCTGTATGGAGCAGGATCCCACAGGCACCAGGAAATGCCGCTGGGGAACTGACCACACACGCCTGGGGGCCCTACTCCACTCACGTGACGCCAAAACGGAAGAGAAGGCCTGACGACCTTGCAGCGGGGCGGGGGGTCACGGTGCCGGAGGACCCTGGGCAGCCAGAACCCCGAGCTGCTGTTCCGCTGCCCGGTCCTGATGAGCTCCTCAGACTGGCCCAGTGTGTGGAAACCGTAAGGGATAATGGGGGTGAGTCCTGAGTGGGCAGAGTTCTCGCACCTGAAGCAACTTACAAACGCTTGGCGACACCTGTCTCCAGGGAAAAGGGGGTGGGGGTGACAGGAACTCCCACCCGAAGGAGGGAGGGGCGGCCACGGTTAAGGCAGTGATGCTGAGGCGGGGCTCCCTCTGGGGGACCCCTTGTGCTCCCAGTTACAGCAGCTCTTCCCCTTTTGCTTTCCATCCTGGGGAAACTTCCTTTTTGTGGCTTTTTTTAAAGCATTTCACTATTAAGAAACTTTGAAGGCAGAGAGACTTGCCAAGCACAGGCGCG